CTATCACTTAAAAACAGTTTTCTAACTTACCTGTCAGCTCTGAATGCTCATGCTTTTCTCATACATGTTCTAGTTTCTTGAACAATTTGTTTTTGGCTAGAGAATGCCAAACCCCAAGGCATCATGTAGATTAAACCAATAACAAATATGCTAGATTCCTGTCACTGAGATCTATCACATCTTGTCCAGAGACAGTTATAAGGCTTTAACTAACTATACTAAACAGGCCTTAAATGACACTGGTGCTGATCTCTCCCTCCTAAATAAAAATTAATTTGACAAGACAAGTTATCCTCCAAAATCAGATAGCATTAGCCATTCTAACAGCAGCACAGGAGGTACCTATGCAATTGCAAAAACTGAATGTCGTGTTTATATTCCTGATTCTTCTAATATCTGAATAGTTGTTCAAGATATTAGATGACAAATCAATGACATGTCCGACTCTAAAATTCCCTGGATCTTATTTCTTAAGGGAAGTCATTACTTGTTCCAGTTGGTGGAAGTCTTTGTTGACTATATTCATCATTAATCTGTTGATTCTATTATTTGGCCTATGCATACGTGTTTCTTTGTCTTTGTCTTCTCCAGACTTAAAGCTGTACACCCACTCATGATAAAAATTCCTGGTATCTATCAAGGACCTTTAGATAGACCTTCTGTAGAGTATTTCTGAGTGCCAATCAGCAACTACAAACTTCTTCAGTCTGAAGAAACCAGATCAGTCATTACCTATTTCTTCCTCGTGGCACTTCTTCAGAAGGAGGAATGTTACAGGCAGCTAAATTAGATAGAAATATCATAGGCAGTCAGACAGGACTGGGCCTTCAAAGAAGCCAGTGCAGAAGATCAGATACCATGCAACTGTGGGGGAAGCAAACACCTTCACTGTGGGGCAGATCTCAAGACAAAAGACAAAACAAAGGCACCACATATTTGCTAAGGATAAACATCAGGGATTGATGTATCACTCATCTTGAGGAAGTCAGAAGTAGACACTAACCTAATCGGTTACAGGAAAAGGTCCTGTTTGTATTCATGCCCTTTTGCTATGTGACTCACTTTCCCATTTGTCCCTAAGGTAATAAATTTTACCTGAGCAATTATATTTGTAATCTTACTGGTTGACCATAGCTCTGTCCCACCTCATGCCCATTTTGCAATTTACCATTTTTCCCCAGTTTAGACCTGCCTCATCTCGTGGTTTTGCTCCATAAAAATCCCTAGAAATGGTAGGGTTCTGAGCAAACCACTTGGGATCCCTTCTGTCTCATTCTCAGACATAAACTTTCGTTCTCTCAATAAATATATTCTGCTCCTAAATAAATAAAAATAGAAAAGCCTAGGGATGTAGCTCAGTGGTAGAACACCTGTGGGTTCAATTAAGAGTTCCACAAATAGATGATAAGATAAAATAAAAAAGATAAGATCAATGTTAAATTATAACTATTGGTAATTTTGATTTCTAGTCCCATGCTACTCAACTTGTCACTAAATGGTCTTCAAAGGCAGAAAAGAAACAAACAGTTGTAAGAAAAAAAAATATAGAATGGTGAGTGATATTTTGAAGTGGGAAGAATTTTTTTTCTTAAATTAATAGCAATTTAAAAATGCATGCCATTTTAAATTGAGGAATTATAATGTTACAGGCAGCTGAGTTAGCTAGAAATATTATAGGCAGTGAGACAGAGCTAGGTCCTCCGAGGAGCCAGTGCACAAGCTCAGTTATCTTGCAATTATGAGGGAGACAGACACCTCCTGCTGTGGGCCAGGCCTCAAGACAAAAGACCAAATGAATGCATCCATATCCTAAGGACTGGTATTCTAAATAGTTTTCTGTCACCCTAAGGAAGTCAAGAGTCATCATTCCAACCCCCTAAGAGAAGAGATACTGCTCTGTTTTCCTCATTTGTTCTTTTTTTAAAAAATTTTATTTAAAGAAAACAAAACAAAACAGTAAAAGGGTACAAGTAATACAGAATTAAAAAAAAAAATAAACAGTAAGAAATCTCTAGTTTGTTGGGAGCCGCGGCCGAGCCCGGTCGCCTTACTTGGCGGACGTGAGGCCTGTAGGAAAGAGCAAAGCCTGAGCTAGATTACCCCTCCCATCGAGTGTGCTAAGATGGCGCTTATCTCCTGCTTCCTGCTTGGTAAACAACCCGCCCTGTAAGATCTCCTGCTTCCTGCTTGGTAAACAACCCGCCCTGTAAGATCTCCTGCTTCCTGCTTGGTAAACAACCCGCCCTGTAAGATCTCCTGCTTCCTGCTTGGTAAACAACCCGCCCTGTAAGATCTCCTGCTTCACAACCCGCCCTGTAAGATAGTCTGCCTAGCAACAACTGATGTTAGCCAATCAGCCCGCATCGCGCGCTTTGAACTGATTGGCCACTGTAACCCTATAAAAGTGAGTGCCTCTCCCGCCACGAAAAAAGAAGCAGAAGAAGCACGCAAGGAGCTGCGGAGAGCGGACCGGTAGAGGCTTCGGGACAGACTGTAGGGAGAAGCACGCAAGGAGCCGCGGAGAGCGGACCGGTAGAGGCTTCGGGACAGACTGTAGGGAGAAGCACGCAAGGAGCCGCAGGGAGCGGACCAACAGAGGCTTCGGCTGGGAGGATTCCCGGGGCAGGCTGTACGGAGAAGGAAAATAAAAGAAAAGGTTGTCCACTGCCAGACTTTGTTGTGTGTCCTTCCTGCCGGCCGGGAGTGACACCGACACTAGTTAATAGATTACATATTGTCATCTTAGAAATAGTTGTTCAAGTTACAAAATTAAGCATACAAAGTGGACATTCCAACAGTGAGACTGCAAACAGCTGTGTTCAATGATCCAACAAAAACTTAGTAATATGTCATCTATCTTACACACCTAAACACATTTGCGGATGTGTCCTTTAGAGCACTTTCTTTTTCTCTCTTTTTTACAATAACATTTACACATTTATTACTCCCACAGTTCTTATTACTTTTTTTTTGGAAGAGAATAAAACCAAATGTGACAAAACAAAACAGTCAGTCAAAACAAAGGATGAACATAGTACACGATGTAAAAACAGAATACAAAGTAATCAACAATGGTTACCATAATGCCTCTTGTTACCTTAAAAAGAATTGGCTATATCATCAGGTATAATAAAATTGAACAAAACAATACAGAACAAAACCAATAAAACCTAAACACTGGAGACATTACTGGACTTCAAAAGAAGACAATAGTCAAACCAGAATGGGCATCATAGTGAGTCTTATTGTCTTCAAAATAGTTGCCTGTACCCTCAAACTTGATACTATCAGATAGTTCTTGATTTAATCAATTTACCTAACAGTTAATCTTATTGGTTAACCACAGTTCTGTCCCACCTTATGCCCATCTGCATTGTGAATACCCAGTTTTCTCCACCTTGAACCCATCTCACCCCATGATTTTACTCTATAAAAGTCCCTAGAAATGAGTCTTTGACATAACCCTAGAAAAGGACCCCTTCTGTCTCTCAGACAGAAGCTTCTTTTCTCTCAGTAAATAATATTCTGTTCTTAATCTCCATTGTTCCTAAAATTCATTCCTCAATTTTAGAAAACAGGAACTCATACCAGCCATAGTAGATTGAGAGTTTCATTCCCCTATATCAACACCGTATTACATTTACGGAGTATCATGTCATGTTTTGATATAACTATACAATGTGGAGTGAGTTCTCTGGGAGTGTTTGTTTACTTTAGGTGACCTCTGCATTGTCCCTCTTTCTTCTTTTTCTGTTGGCTTTACTTTCCCTGCATTACTAGTCATGCCTATTTTAGTTGGCTATGTTGACCTTCTCCTCTATCCCTTATATTATCACTATATTTAATAAAAATATAGTCAAATATGATATGGAAGGGCACACACAGGAGGGTCTCTCACAGGTTCCATGGAATCAAGAGATCTTTAATGTTAATTTGTATGTGGAACTGCCATGTGCAGTTTCATTTAGAAGTGAGATCCTATCTCAAAACAAAGTGATTATATATAATACATATAATTTGAGATAGGGTCTCACTGTGCAGCCCAGGCTGGCTTTGAACCCAAGGGCAGTCCTTCTGCTTCAGTCTCCCAAGTGCACACCTATGCACCACCATACTGAGCTTCACTCATGTTTTAAAAAGAGGCAGCCACTGAAGGTAATCAATTAAATTATAATTGAAGTCTTTGGTACAGCTTCTAATTTCAGCAAATATTATCTACTTAATAAATGCAGTAGCTGACACTAGCTTGTCCCCTGACTGTTGCTGGGTGACTAAATGATTGGGGAGACCTTAAGCTAGTTTCTGTGCTTGCTGTCTCATCAGTAAAATGGGGCTACATCTGAATTCTCTACTGTGATGTTTTCATGACGAATCAAAGAAGTACAGAAAAATTGATAAATGAAGACAGTCTCTGTGTGGTGTATGATCTCAGCTAAACTGATATGAATTAATCAGCAGAATCAGGCAGGAATGAATGAGGAGAGGGTGCCACCTGCTGCTTTGTTCTTGCAATTTCAAGGCAAATAAGTGGAAGTTCCTATTTATTCACATGAGAATAAATTTGAAGAATTTAAGCAGGCAGAACTTGACTCATAACAAAAAGGCTTCTTTCACCCAACAGTTATTGGGCTGGAGATATGGTTCAGTGGTGGATGTCTCGCCTTGCATGCACAAGACCTTGGGTTTAATCCCCAGCCCCCCCAAAATCCAAAAACAGCAACTAAAAGTTACTCTTTTTAGAAGTTAAATTTTATCTTGAGCTATTTTTGACCTCCTTCAATAATTAGAATATGTGTCAAATGAATATTATTCAGCCACACAGAAGGATGAAACTTTGCCATTTGCCAAAAAGTGAGTGGGTCTGAGGTCGGGGATTTAGCTCAGCAGCATAAGCACCTACAAATGCACAGTGGTTCCACACTACACTCACTTTGGACAGCAGATTTCAGAGTGACCTTACACAGTAGTGTTACTTGGAGAAGGTGTATAGAATATTTGACATGGCTCCCAAAGGCTCTTCAAGTAAAAAAGATGATTATAAAAAAGCGCAAGTCAAGCAGTGTGGAAAATGGAAAGCAAGACCTCCACACAAATTTACACAGGATGAATTACAGATTCTGAAAGGATCATTTAAAGAGAATCCTTACCCTAAATACAGCACCAAGGTGGAACTTGCCAGAGTACTTCAGTGCCAATTGTATGTTATTGATAATTGGTTCCAAGGTCAAAGATGCAGACTACCACCTGCAGAGAAAAAGAGAATCTTTGCCATGAAGAAATTAAACCGTTTTCTTGTCCAGAAGTCTCAGTCGCTGCTCTCCCCTAATAGCCTGGCGCAATTAGACAACTCTTCCATACAGGACAACACCTTGCATAACCAGGAGACACTACTACACAGAGGTGGCTTCTTTTACCTGGAAACACAGGCCATTCCCAGTGGACGTGTTCCCTCAGGTGATGCTGCATTCACAGGTATTCACGAGGATCCAAGAAGTCCCCCGGAGTTTCAAGATTCCCCAGAAAGTGGAGCTTCTTATATTTCTCCACCAGCCAAATTTATTTATTCTAATACATCTTTTCAGTATTTTGAAAGTGCCAAATATGAGCCAGAAAATAGCTACTATTCTTTGCCCTTTACTTCCCATGATATTTTCACTGGTCAGGGGACAGGCCAGCAGCAAGAAGAGCACAAGGTCTATTTTCAGTGTATGACATTTCAAGGACAGCAGGGAAGCCCCTGGGAAAACCATGTGCAGCAGCTCCCACAGCCCCAGTATTACCAAGAGTATTACCAGTTGTCATCCCATGACCAATTTTTGGCAAACCAGAATCCAAGTGACTTAGGACAACAGGAGCCCAACCTTGCATCGGAACAGCAAAGTGCTGGGGGTTCCCTGAGCTCTCTGCTGCAGCAGGCGCCCATGCAAATAGCAGGCAGGTCTCCATCACCTCTTTGGTAAGGGATGCAGCAGGTTCCTGCTGAGATTTCAATATCTGAAGTCCAGCAGCACCTTGAGAATGGCTGTCCACTGGTTAAACTGTAAGTGTGTTTGCAAGTGATAGAAGGACTGAGAAAGAGTAGATCACCCTGTCTGCACAGAGGGAAGGAAGGGAAAGGTCTTGTCATTTGCAGAAATTCACTGTTATTTAAATTAACTCCACCAGGATGATTAAGACAAGAATTTTGTGATTGTGTATGAAATAGTACTATTTTGAGTCACTGAATTACATATATACACAATTACCACATTTCTGAAAAATGGCACCTTTGCTTCTAGCAATCATATTTATTTTTATTTATTGCATGAGTTAAAACTGCCACTGTATACGGAATCAACAGTGAGAGGCCAGAGGACTGCCGCCCCGCCTAGCTTCAACTTCAGCTTGGTCATGCGTTACCAGTTTCTACCAAGGACCCCTTTGGTTTCTCTTTCAGGATCTGAGTATCATCTGCCTGTACAAATTTTGAGTTTTAAAATGCTTTAGTCTATGGCAAAAATGTGACTTTGTTTTTCCTTTAAAGTTCTTGTAGTCATTTAAATAGATTTTTCTTACGGTAACTAATTTTGGTTAATTGGTCATTACTGTAGGGAGCTCCACCTCTGTTCTATGTCAACAGGCCCTTGTTTTAATGAATAATTTGTGTGTGCATAGTTTTCCCAGGGTGGTTTTCTTCTTGTCACTGTTTTGCTTCTCTCAGCTGTCCAGTACCGGGACCTCCGGCTACACCTCTGTGCCATCCTAAGGAACATTCTGTTCCACAGTAACTCAGCTAATCCAAGCATGTGTACTTACGTATTGCTGGATCACTTTTCCTAACACGTTGATTCAAACTTTTCCATGGTATGTTCATGAATAAATTATACTCATTTTTTATTTTCCCACTGGGATTACCGGTAGGGTTTGGGGGCCTGTTTAGTTAGTATGGAAAATGTGCTTTTATTACGATACTCTTAGATTCTTTTACAAAATGGTATTTCTTCATTAAAGTTTTAAATTAAAAAAAAAAAAACACAGTGGTAAGTTCAATCCCCGGTACCAAAAAATCAATTAAAAAAATTAAAACTTGAATACATTTGGACTCCATCATGTTGAGCAAAGTAAGCTAGATTCAGAAAGACAAATATCTTATGTCCTCCCTAATATGTGAAATCTACCAAGACAAAGGAAGTAGGATAGAAATTATTACTAGATAAGAGAAATGGAACAAGGAGGGAAAGGGGTGTAAGGGCAGATAATAGGGGTGAATATGAGCAAAATGTGTCGTACACATCGAAGCCCCGCAAAAGTGAAACTATGAGGATTATAAGGGATCAAAATGGTCAAAGTATCTTATGTTCATGTATGAATCTGCCACAATGAAACTCTTAATGTGTATAACCCAAAAAAGTGAAAAATAAAACCATATAAAATGACTTAATTTCTAATTTCTGCTATCAAATTACAAGTTGCTAGAAGCACTCTATCATTCGTCCTCTAGTATAAATTCCCAGTACCTAGAGTAACTTTCATATAGTACTAAATAAGTGAATAACATTTTAGACGTGCTGTAACTCTTTTTAATCTCATTGCTTATATTTTCCTTCCATACTAGACAGTAAGCACCATGACCATAGTCTCTCTATATATTGGTTGTCATCTAACCTGTTAGCCCTAAAGAAAAGCTTTCCTTAGAGTTAATTCTCACTAGAGCAAAGTAAATTAGAAAAGTTTGCACAAAGTAGAATATCTGACACCAATAGTTTGATATCTTAAGTTATTGCAGCATATAACCAGAATTTTACCATCTATACATTAGGTATTCTATATCATTTCCAAAGTATAATACACATGGTTACTATGATGGGTAAAATGTTTACTTAGGAAAAGTTGCTTATATTTTTCTTAATATTTGGGGATTGTGGTAAGGAAGTAGAAGAGTGCTGTGTAAGCTATCTTACAAAAGAGCTTACCAAAGACAGATGATTTACATTTAGGACTGCACTGAGGTAGATTCTTGATGTCAGTATTATGAGATGTTTTATAGAATTTAAATTATTCATATTGCTATTGATTTGTTCATTTTCTAAGAGCTTGAATTATACATTATCTGTTAAATATTCTCTTAATGGAATATGATATCTAGGGAAGAGGGGGGCATATGATTATCGGCCGCAGTATAACACAGATCATTAAATTTAAACAAGCGACCAAGGGCTACATTAATACTTAACTCTCAGCCTTGACATCTAGGCACAAGTATGATGGGTAATACTCAGAGTTTTGAGATTTCCAATATAATGATCCCTAGAATGCCTCACTCCTCTCATTTATTGTTTCTGAATGTTGTTCTCATGAAGGTAATGGTCTGTTTCCTGGTCCAAGGTCTTTTCTGGTCCACAGGTTAATGCCTTACTAGACATAGAATGAGGGTGACATGGAAAGCTGGGCTTAGGGGCAGTCAGGAGTGAACGAAGGTGCAAAGAAAGCACGCTTGAGAAACTAATATAAAAATCATATATTTTTAATCTGTTTACTTTACTTAATATATTTTTCAAAATTAACAACAGATTCAAGAAAGTGCACATTTTCTGGTCATGTTGTCAACTAGAAAGGCAAAGGTTTGCTGGATGAGACACCTTAAGGCGGGCTCACTCTTCAAATCATACTCACATATGCATGATTTATTCCTATACTTGCCCAAATGTCCTGTGGAGATCTGATAAATCTCAAAAAAAATTGAAGAAAAGTTGAACAGTATTTGTTATGGTTTGAGAAGTGTGAAATCAAAGCATGTACCTCAGCGCACTATTTTAACATAGCAACAAAAATGACCCTAAAAAAGTTTACATATGCAAATAAATCTAATTAGCCATAAGTCATTTGTTCAATAGACTGTAAGAGCTTGTCTATTAGCACAAACCATATTTGTAGCGTTAAAAAGACAAAAACTTGAACAAAGTATAAATTAGTACAATGTCTTGAATTCTTACCGACTTACTGACATGACACAAAACACTACATAATCATTTTACTATTAAATCCTCAAATATCTACAATTCATCTTTTATTTGCATAAAGGCATCAAAAGGATAAGTAACTTGCCTTAAATAACAAACTCAGTAACTTACTGATATTTGACTGAGTCAGATCTCTGAGTTTTAGAGCTAGTCCATCACGTTCTCATTGTGAAATGGATATATAAACAGTAACTTACATCAGCAACCTTTTACTGAAAAAAGTGAATGAATAAATATTTTAAATTTTGCAAGCCACTTACAATCTTTGTTTGCCACAGCTATAATATTAAGAATCCTTTAAAAATGTGAAGAATAATCTTAGTTTACAGAGAATATATTAGCAAGCTACACAGCAAGAGATGTACTTGGACACATGATTTAAATAATATAAACAATGAGAGCACGTATTTGAGATCAAAAGCAGCAAATGAACTAATGGGAAGAGAAACCCCCAGGAGAGATGGAATCAGGGAATTTGCCTTTAGGAAGCAATGGGCCAGTGTCTGCAAAGGCTGAAGATAAGTAGCACAGATGAGTCACAAGCACCGTCAGCATAGCCAGAGAAGAGAGCTCTGTCATCAACTCCGAAACACAAACTACACCAGAAATGGAGTCAAGAAGTTCCTCCAACCCAATGCAAAGTTTAAATACCTAACTACAAAATACTTATCTTGAACTTTTGCTTAAAGCAGGAATGGAATAACAGGAACTGAATTGATCTTCCAGCCCAAAATAAACAACTGACGTGGGATGTGAGGCACCAGTTTTCAAAACAGTGAATAACAAGCAATAAGGGCAATGATTCTTGAAAGATAGAAACAAGCCAGGGAAGTTCTGTGCTTGCCCCAGGTTCAGTGTTTAGGGGTGATGGGCTGAATACAGGGAAGAAGATGTGAGGGGATATTGGTAAAGTCATTGCACTGAGGGAATGCAATTGAGAATCTTGGAAGACAAATACAGTGAGAGCCCTCAGGAGAAGGTACAAGAGAAGGAAGAGAGGGTTTTCTTGGAGAAAACCCTCGAAGATCTGCTTGAGTAATCAGCAGAGAGCAGATTAAAGCAGCAGAGTGAAACTGTCAGCTGATGCGTAGAACTATCCAAGAGGAGTAAAGAATATCCTGAGCAGGGAGGAATGCCTTTTCTCCACAATAAAGGGAAGAAAAGGGATAAAAAAGTGGGGAAGGGAAGGGATGAATGAAAGAAGCAAACACAGAGATTAATGAGAAAGAGAGACAGACACTGGGTTGTAGGACAACTTCTAATAACTTATCACATCTGTAGTGGAGCCTCATAATAGTTTGGAAGTGAAGGCAAAGAGGAAAAGTATTTGAATGAATAGTTTAAAAATGTTCTAAACTTAATGAAAATATAAAAACCTAAATGAAATTAGGTTCAGAACTTAATCAACCTTAAGAAACAAACAAAACAAAACAAAAATCTATACATAGGCATAATAATAAATGCATAAAACAAACCACCTAGAAGAGATATTATGTGCAGAAAATCAAAGCTACAAATGACAAAATATTTATCATGGACAATAACAATAGTTAAAAGATTGCAGGGCATCTTTAAAGCACAGAAAGAAAAATATGTCACCTCATCCTTCCATAACCAATGAAAAGATTTTTCACAAAAGAAGATAAAATACTCTCTTCAGAAATACACAAGCAGAAAGAAATCACCACAAGACCTTCACTGTAGGAAATGTTGAAGAAAGTCCTTTAGGAGAAATGAAAATGTCAGGTGATGAAAACATGTGTGTAGAAGCTGGGAAATAACTATGCAGGTAAACAGACAGTATTTCTATTACTTAAATGTCTTTTAAAATGGTTCACTTCTGAAACTGATAAAAGATATCCATGAAAAATCTGTAGCTCACAGCATACGTAGGGTGCAACACTGACAGATACCTTCCTGTATAAAAAAGTCCAACCTAACATAAAAGTTACTCAAGGAATGAAAGGAATTTTTCAAGGTTTCTGGATATAAGCTTAATACAAAAATCTACTGAATTTCTATCTACTAGTAATAAAGATTTCTAAATCAGAATTAGAAATGAGCTCTTTCCAGTTATTGCTGAGCCCCTGCAATCTCCACGGACAATTAGCTTAAGACCAGCTTCAAGCAAGCCCTGGCTCTGGAAGCAGAAACACAAGCTGGGCTGAGAGCTGTCTTCACCAAGTTTGGCACTCACCACACACCATCAGTCTGAGTGCCAGAAGGTAAGGAAAAATATGTGCCCTCAGGCTGCATGGGGGATCCCTATCCCTAATCCCTGATGGTTGTACACTGAAACCAAGGGTGACTGGTGTTCTGTACAATGCATTTAGCAAGTTGTGGTCTGCTCCTGACCCTGGCAAAAAACTGCAGTTTACTCACTAACAGCGCACCTTAGGATCAGGGGTCCCATCCCCCTGTTGATGGCCCCTGGCCACAAGAAGTGGGACCTGCTGACTTATGAGGAAAAAGAGATTTAAAACAAACAAACAAGAATATAAAAATCAAAGAAAATTCAAAATAAATAGGAAAAAGCAGAAAGAAAACCAAAATCAGCTGTTCTGCATAAGCAGTTCCAAAACGTCAAGCTTCTCATCCATGTTGCTTACATGGAATCCCAGCACTCTGAGAGGCTGAGGCAGGATAGGAGTTTGAACTTAAAGTAGGCAATTTAGGAGCTTAGTGACTTAGCAAGACCCTGTCTCAGAACAAAAAATAAACAATAAAAATGTTTATTTTTATTGTCATCAACTGACATGACACAAATGGAGGGGTGGGGAGGAGAGAAAAAAGGGATGGAAAAAGGAATTAATATGTATTATATACGTACGCCAATTCCACACAAGGAAAGTAAACATTGATCTACCCAGTCTATTCCCTCTTCTTCCTAGTGACCAAACTCACAGCTAACACAGCCTCTGTAAACCACAGATCTGTATTCTATCTTTGTATTTTCTCTCTTCCAGAATAAATGGTAAACAGTATGTAAAAATAAATAAATAATAAAAAGACTATGTTCGAGCTCCAGTACAAACAAACAAGTAAAGACTGAGGAGAAGCTTGTGCGCCAGGGAAGCAAGAAGCTGGAGTTAGATGAGGAGATCAGTAGCTCAGAAAGGCACATGAATCCGCTCCAGTCTTAGGTCATACAATAAAAAGAGATTTATTGTTGTGAAAATATTACAAATGATATTGGCATAATAATAACTTCAAAAATATGAAATATGTTGGCCGGGATTAGCTCAATACCTTAAGCACCTGCCTGGCAAGCACGAGGTTGTGAGTTTGATCCCCAGTACAAAAAAAAAAAAAAAGAAATATATAATTATAATCCAGCAACATTTATAAATTGTATATATAAAAATATTATAAAACGTTGCCTGGAGGAATGAAACAATCCCTTACTAAAAGTAAAGATATTTTAGGTCTCAAATTGGTATTTCTAAGATTTTATTTCTCTTGAAATATATCTATAGAATCAAGGCAATTATGATCAATTTTCCAGGAAGACTTTATAGAAATTGAGATGCCAATTTAAAATTTTATATGGAAATGCAGAGACATAAATCAGAACAATTTTGAAAAAAATGAAAATTAGAGGACTTTTCTTTACATGACTTCAAGATTTATTATAAAACTGGATATAGTATTCAGAATGGTGTGTTGGCAGTAGTATGAGAAAAATTTGTGAAATCAAAAAAAAAAAGACTTAAAAATGTACCTGCACAGACAACTGCTTGTTTCCCAGGTGCCAGCACACTGCAGTAAGGAAAGAAGTCTTGCAAAAACAAAGTCATTGAAATAACTGATTAGTAAAATGTAAAACAAGCAAAAAGAATTTAATATGTAACACTCAAATGAATCCTAAGTAAGCCAGAGGCCTCAGTCTGAATCTGAAATTATAAAATATGAAAAGAATAGAAAACAATTTTGTTAAGTTAGGGAATGAATTCCGCGATGTGTTCTCTACAGAAATTGCAATTCATTGAAACTAAAGATTTTTGCTTTCAAAGTAAATTGTTCAAAAATGAAAATACAAACTATAGACTTTTAAAAATTTTTCATCTTTTCAGATAAATATCATAAAATGGTTTTATTCCAAACATAGAAATGGCTTTATTCCAAGCTAAAAAAATGGCTAAAATGTCTTTATTCCAAACTAAAAAACAAGAAAACAAAACAATTTGAACCATTAAAATTTCCAAAACATTGTACAATTACTGTGGTACCTTGTTTCACAAACAATTTTGTCTGCAAACAATTTGGTTCTTGTGTTTGACAAGATTTTGGTTTTGCTTGTGAACTGTGTATCAGGTGACAAACATCATCATGGCCATCTTTCCCACACAAACACAAACATGGCCACCTTTTTTCCAGAGTCATGGAATGAATTGAGTACCATATTTCATCCAAGGAGACATACAGATGATAATATATGCAAAGATGTTCAAGATCACACTTAGGAAATGCAAATTAAAACTACAATGATACATGACAAATCTGGTATAATGAATAAAACAATCAACATTGAAATATTTCTGTATTGTTGTTGGAAATGTAAACTATCGCCCCCATGAAAGTATTAAGATTCTTCAAAAAACTAAAACTAAAAATTCCGTTTAACTCAGCTATTGCTTCTCGATATCTTTCTGAAAGACATAAAGATATATTACAGTAGTACATGTATATTCATGTTTATATCAATATAGCTATGATAGCTAAATATTGGAAGCAGCCTATATGGCCATCAACACATGAATAGTTTAAAACAATGTAGCATTTATACACAATGAAGCATCACTCTGCCATAGTGAAGGCTAGTCTTCAGTCATTTGTAGGAAAATGGGTACATTTTAAGACAATAATGTTAAGTGAAACAAATCAGATGCACAGCCTTAAATATCACACGATTTCTCTTATATGAGAAACTCAAAATATAAATAAATAACAAAATAAAAGATAATAGGAAACAGGGAGATAGATCTTTTGCAAAAAGGAAGCAGACCAAAGGATGGAGGAAAGGTGAAGGGATGGAGGGAAGGGGGCAGTTTAAAAAAAAAAAAAAAAAAAGATTGTCCTTTGTCTTGGTTACTTTCTCTCATTGGTGAGACAAAACACCTGGCACCCAAAATTAGGGAAGGAAAGGTTTATTTAGCTTACAGTATGTGGAGATTTCAGTCCATAATCAGCTGGCACAGTGGCATGGCACTGGGACAACTCTTCAAGGCAGCAGCAAGCAAAAGCAGCCAATGCAAAAAGTGGGGAACAAGTCTTTCTCCTCCCTTATACGGTACAGAGGCTACCACCTCCCTCCCCAGGGCTGGTGTAGCGCTCACAAAATCTCTGTGCCCTCCTTTTACAAAGGATAAAGATATTTACAAAGTAAAGATCTCAGCTCCTGCTGAGTCTCTCAGTTAAACTTCTACTTCTCAAGTTGACATAGTGTATCAACCACAACATTCACACTGAATTCTGACACAGATAAAGTGGAATTGGATCATTTATACACTACTGGCAGAAATATAAAAGGATGCAACTTTGAAAAACAGATTAGCACTTTCTCAAGTAGCTAAACATATATTTACTGTTAGATACAGATATTACACTCTTAGGTATTTATCCAAGACAAAAGAAGCCCTAAGTTCAGTCAACAACTTCCACATGAACATTCATAGCTTTATTTGTAGTTATTCAAAACTAAAACAATCCAAATTTCACTAACAGGTACACATAACAAATAAATTGTAGTATGTCCCCAAAGGGACAATCAACACTAAACAAAGAATAAATAATTGATACAAGCAACAAGACAAAAATATATGAAACCCAAGTTACTCAAAGTAAAAGAGGTCAAACCCAAAGGGTGTATAGTGTGATTCCATTCATATGAAACCCTTCAGAATGTAAGCTGAAAGGTGATTAGTGGTTGTCTGGGGAAGACACACGGGGCAGGGTATGATGAATAATTTGTGGTTGTTGATATGCTCATCATAAGGGGAATATGTTTATATGTAATGTGGGAAATGTTTCAAATTGCAGTTTATTGTAAATCAATTATACAGAGACTAGTAGCAAAGAAAACATTCTTGTCTTTATAAGGATCATATAGAATATATATATATGGCATACATCATATATATGATTTGCTGATGTGTTATATATGGCAAAATAGTAAAGTTTCTTTGAAAGTAGAATAGCATGAAGGGGGTGGAAAGACAATTGAAGCTCTAAAAATAAAGGGGAGTTTCTAATTCCATCTATTTGTGCTCAGCAATATTTATATACCTGGTTCAAACTGTCCTTGAATTGACTATATTTGGTCTTGTATATTTCTGAATTATTACGTAATACGTTAGAATTTAGGAGAGTGTCTGTAAATAGTTTGTACGTTGGGGAGAAAGTTCTGTTTGTGCCTCTGGGACAAACTTTGTATAATTCTGACACTGTATTGGGCTGCTATTTGGCAAAGAAAAGGTGAAAAAATAATTATAATTTCAGAGATTGGTAATGAATTGTGACTTATTTCACAGAAAAGTCCATGAAATTGCTCATCACTTTCTGGGCCACCACAGTCACTGCGAAATATGTGAGTGGTCTGTATCAATGGTAGAGTCTGGAGGTGGACCCCAACTGTAAAAACAAATGGTGTCTTCCAAGTGGAGAACGCATGATTCTTGATTACACAGTGATCTGTTCTTTGTTCTCTTTCTTCAAGTACACTGCTTCCAGAGCACGTTTCCCCTCATTTGGCTTCCTTGTGCAGATGCACACGTTGTTTTGTCCTTTCTGTAGCTGTAAAAGTCAACACTGAGGTAGAGAAGATTGAATGTGGTAGCTTCCCAAGCTTGGTAAGGAGTCAATTTTTAAAACAGAAAAGGGAAGAAAGACCTAGAGCTTGGCAGGGAGGCTTGGGATGGATAAACAGAATCACTGTTTTTGAGGTGAAGGTGTCACGAAGCTGGAGTCCCAGTTTCAGTCTCCAAAAAGACCCATTTTGGCATCTGATAAGGAGTTCCGAAGCTGGCTCATAACTATCAGTTCTCAAAGCTACTATGATTTGCTCCCGAGAAATGAAAAATAGCTTATGTTCCAGGAAAAAGTCTATTTTTTCTTCCAGCTTCCTCAAATTTATTGTATGTGCAACAGATCTGCTGCCTTCTGACATATACGGGCTGCAACTAAAATGCAGTTGTCAGCAAAAACATCTCCCCACTGTATATATGCACAAGTTCCTGAAGGGTACATATGAGAGAAAGCACCACGAAATTTCAACCTATAGGTAGAGAGAGAGAAAAAAGTTAGATTGTCTATCACATTAGCAGTAGACCTACTGTCAGAAACTTAGCCTTGTTTTAAACCTTAAATCAGAAATAAAGGTGGGAAGAAAAACTCCAGAGAACATCTGAAAGAGTCTGTTGCAAATCCCTTTGGGGAGGTGAGGAAGGAGCCTTGTGTAAATTCTGCAAGCTTTGTTCTGACGAGAATAGAAATGTGGCAGTGAATTCAAAGTGCATTCAGCAAGGAACAGAAAACTTCAAAAGCATGTCAAAAAGAAACTTACAAGTGGGGTCTCAAAGGAGATCCATCCTCCCAGATCCATGAATTGTCGGGCTTCCTCAGACTCAGTCCCGTCCAGAATGGGAGATTAGAATGGGAAATGACTTGCTTGATGAAATCCTGTGGAAAGTAATATGTCTGAGTTGATGGAATCAATGTACAGATTCAGAATCTGAAAAGTAGCCTTACATTCATAAGACTAAAAAATCCCAAAAGGGATCTTTGGCACGCTCTTCAGGATTGTATGTAAATGTTTACTAAAGCCTAAAATATTACATAGCCTGTCAATCCAATACCATACATGTGACCAGGCTAAATTAAAACAAAACAAAACAAAAGAAAACAAAACAGATATTTTTCACTCTAAAGTGTTGTCCCACCCAGGATTTAATTCAGACTTATTTTCCATCAACCAGTATTCCACCCCCCCCCCAGTCATCCATGCATACCAGATCACTCGTGTTATTAATTTTCAGCAACTGGGCACCCAAAGCTGAGCAGTTCTTTCTGCTTGCTTCCCAATTAAATAGTCCAGAGGAAAACAAGTAACAGTTTTCTCCATGCCAGATCCAATCCTGGGGACAAGGACCTACAAAGTACATTAAATCTAATCAGTGAGTTATGTCTGAGTAGAAACGCTTATAAGATTCTTAGGCCAATTTTCCTTGCTGTTATCCTTTAGGCTTATCATTTATTCTTAAATGAAATTATATCCACACTCTGCAAACACCTAAAAGCCTCAGAATCTTACTTATCTTTTTATGAAGAAAAAGAGAAAAAAATGTATATGTGTATTTATATTTGAGAGAGGGTCTTGCATTGTAGTTCAGGCCGGCTTATATAATCATAGTGATCCTTCTGCCCTAGCATCCCAAGAACTGAGATTACAGATGTGCACCACTATGCCCAACTAAAAATGGCTATTTAATAGCTATTTTGTCATTAAAAGTAATCCTTAAGTACTTTAAAACTTCACATACTTGAATAGTGGATTTGGTCCTAAGGAATGTGCCTCCTCGTTTTAGACAAGACCAAGACAATAGACATGTGATTTCTATGCTTTTAGTGTAACTAATTTCATGAAGAAGTGCTCCACAATACAAAGTACATAGCCTACTTTGAAATTTAAGATGGAAAAATGTAAAAATTTCACATTAATAATTTTTGTAATGATTAGTATTAATATTTCCAATATTGTGAATGAACTAAAATATGTTACTAAATTTTACTTTACTTCTTTTTATTTTTAAAAATAGTGTGATTGTGGCAAAATTTGTTTGGGATTTTTTGGATTTTTTTTTTTTCCTTTCATATGGGGGATAGAACTCACAACTTCAAGATTGCCAGGCAAGCGCTTGTGCCAGTAAGCTAAAATCCCTGGCCCAAATTTAACACGAAATAGTGGCAAATACTGTATTTCTTTGGGATAAATTTGTTCTACAAAGACTGTTGTAGGGGTATTGTAGTGGTATGTAGCATCTCATTTGCAATAAGATTTCAGGAAACCTGGAGAGCCTCAACAAAAAGCAAAACAAAACAAAACAAAATCCCAGGGAGTCCAACAAACCCAATTGAGGGTTTGAGCAAAGGCAATATATTCTAGTGCTCACATGTGTGTAGGTGGTTCCAACAATCCCCACACCACCATCACCAAGCTGCCATCCACATCTTCATCATTCCAAGTGTTCGTAACACTTGGAATCTCCTTAAGGAGAAGCATAGACCTTTAGTCACTGTGACCAAAAGGTAAAACACTTCAAATCTTTTAGAAGGGTTATATTTTAATTTTGAGTTTTCATCATGACACAAATCATCACATAATTTTATAAAAGTAGACTTTACCAGAAAGGGCAGAATAAGAGGGCACTGAAAAAATGATAGAAATGAACGGGAAAGGTCACACACACACACACAAAACCTAGTCACAAGCAAAAAATGTAACATTCTTCATAACTTTCTCTATCTCATATGTAAACATAAAAAATCAATATTAATGCTAGATAGCCTAGGCAAATTTTCCAAGGTGCGTCAAAGGAAAAAAGACACATCTCAATTCATGGTATGCATCTATACCATTTGTAATGTAGGTACTATATTATACACACATATGTTATATATGTAGTATGATATGTATAGTATATTGTATATAATTTAATAAATAATATTTATAACGTACCAGAAACTATTGGAAGTGCTTTACATGCATGAACTCGTTTAACTCTCATAACAACTTCATGTCCTCATGTGACAGAGGGAAAATGGGGATAGGAATCTGCACAACCTAACTTCTGGAGGCTGTATGTTTAACCACTATAACACACCACATCTCAAACTTTTAAATTTAAGCTATCCTAGAAAGTATTTCTCAGTACCTCTTAAGACAGTCTGGTATAGAATCTTAGGTTCAATCTGAAATCAGCCATTTTTAATTAGGTATTTTGTACATGTAAAGCTAAGAACCAATACAGATACTAATTATTAAATATACTACTGTGTGCTTCTTCCTCTCACTAGATTTCAGACTTGTGGTAACTTCTTAGCATCTCTCCCTCCTTAGTTATGTACTAAGGATCACAGGGTTATTAGTAAAAAAAAAAAAAAGGTAAAATTTGCTTCAAATTTAAAAGAAAATGAGTATTTTCTCTTGTAGTGTTTTAGTATAATTTTTCAAAGCATCTTCTCAAAGATGCCTGATAAAAGCAGAACCTTATTTGGTATCTCTTCTCTGCTCATTGGTCTTTGGCACTGTTGAGGAATAAATCATGTTTCATGGCATATCTACCAGCAATGGACATAACATCTACCCTGCTTAATTCCTTGCAGATGCTTCACATTTCGGGAGATGGCTCCAATTGGTCTTCACAAAGACTTAATTTTATCACTTTACAACTGATAAAAACTTTTTTACAGCCTTATTTTGAAATGAATCCTTGGTTGGAATGTGGCTACATCTGTTTATGTAAACATGCCTGTCTTTGATATATAACCCTCTTTCTCTTAATCCTTCCTTGAAGTACTATAATCATTTATTTCATTGAAAGTTTCCTCTCAAAAAAGATTAAAGATGTTTTTAACTTTTGTTAAATATCATTTTGCCTGAAAATTTATGCATATTTTGGATTTAAGTTGCTCTGTAGTGAAAGGATTTATAAACAACAAAATTTTATACAAAAATCACTAATTTTCACTTACTTCAATCTCAATTTTTGTCTATAAAATAAAGAGATGGGTATCTGAGACCAATCATGGTATATTTATGCTAAATATTACGTGGGTTGTAGAAGTATGAAGGTAGAGGAATCTGTTTATTAGTGACACTTAGCAATTTAGAAAACAGGGCACTCTTTCATGTACTTCATAGGAAGAGACCTTGGAACTCTGCTCATGGCTGAAAGCATATACCTAATTTAATTACACTGTACAAAGAGTAATTTAATCTACCAGAGTTTATCATAATTATAGATGCTATTTCTGTTGCTTCATAGATTCTAAATTCCTTTAGACAGTTGAGATTAACCCAATTCTTAAAATAACCCACTACTTAGACCCTCACATGCTTGTCTAGCCTGAGTGTATCTACCTAATCCTCCCTCCCTTGACTCTAGATTGATGTAGTACACTTCACAGAACAGTTATTAAGAATGAAGCTGATGTTGAATTAGCAGTAAAGAGTTACAAGTAAAGATGCTTTTCAAAAAGAAATACGATTGAGACACATTAGAATGGAAAAAGTATGACATGAGTTGAGAATGGAAAGATTCTTCCAGATAAATCTGAAAACTAGAATTTTAAAGAAAAAGAAGATGCTCTTCTTTTAAAGAAGAAAACATTAAATCTACCAAATGTAGTGCTTAACTAAGTCAGATGTCCCCAGAGTTGATATTGGGTAGGGTGGAGATGACAAACTAGTCAACTTCTGGCAACAGAAAATTATGAATCAATAATGACACATATGTCAGTATGACAATCTCATGGCTACAAATATATGCCAAAATACTTAGGACAGGACAGGGAATCTGCTACTACCCCTTATTAACTCCCCCTTCCCCAGTACCTGAACAGTTTTCCTTTCTCGCCAGAGCATCTTGGAGATTCAGGTTCAACTGGTGAAGTTCCTTTTGCTCTTTGTGCCCTTCATCCAGCTTCTGTTGAAGGTTAGCTATTATTTCTCTGAGCTCCTTCTGTGAACTCTGAGAATCATTTTCTGCCTGCCGATAGGCTAACAGCTGTCCTTCCAGGGCATTTTCCTGGTGAGTAAAGTTTGCTTGATATTGTTCTAGGAGGTCAGATATCTGGAATACTAAATGATAGTTGAATTACAATTTCACTTTCAATCTCCAGTGTGAAATCCATACTGCATTTTAAGGAAGTCTCATTCTTCTTCCCACTTACTCAGAAAGCATTTAGCCTAAAATGAATCTAAATTAAGGTTGTTTGACTGTTGTTTAAAAATTTTAGGAATTATGTTTATAAGGCCTCACATCTGGTGCTTATTTTTCTATTGCAAGACTTACTTTGCTTCTTCAGCATTATGATAGTTGTCAACAATCCCAGGCAAAGGATACCCAAAGTCATGGCAGCAGGGCACCAGCATGGATAAGAAAGAAAACGACGACCTGGAGGATAGAGGACAGAATTAGAAAAACCAAAGAGATGGGACAAGGCCATCAAACTAGATCTTTGGATCTTGTGTGTCCTTGAGGTTTTGTATTCCTTAGCACTGATCCTCCCAAAGGCTCTACATAATTCATTATATGTACTTATAGAGGAAAAAATGGACAGCTAAAGAATTTAAGTAATTTACTCATGGATCACACAACTGGTAAATTTAAGAGCTAAGATTCAGTATCTGATACCTGGCTCTAAATATCTCATTCTAAAGTTTATACGTTATCTACCCTCTATAATAATTTTTAAGAAACTCTCAATCAACTTGATTAGATCAACTGCACAGGACTAAGAGCCTGGTAGTTGTAAAACAGACTATAGGTGCACGTGAATCCACACACACACACACACACACACATGTTTTATGAGTAACTTGATATGAATACTGCTCATGTCAAGCAAATGAGCTTTAGCCAATTAGTTGATATTTTTTTCAAAGAATTCTCTACATAGTTTTGTGTTTTAATTTTCATTTCACTGTAATTACATCTTGAGACTGGAGTCATTGATCAAAGTAAAATAGGAATGAAACTTAGTAATCATTTGGCTTATATAAAAGTATGCCTCCTTACTCCCAGCCACTATAGGTCACAGAAAAATTTACTGTTTTAATAAAAACAACTCATGTAGCTTAAAAGTGTGGATATTCTGGTTATGCATTCCAGATATTGTTTCTTTGGCCAAAAAAAAAAAAAAAATCCCATACCATTTATTAGGTTGTCCTGAGGGTGAGAGAAATAAGGCACTGGTAGTGTTCCCCTCTGTATGTAAGACTGTACCATTACAGAAAAGACCACACCAGATCTTAAAACCAAAACAGGTCTTTAGTCAGCCACCTACAGTTACATTGCTTGAAACATAACATCACAAAATTTCTTGTGTGAATATTTAATAATCCAAGACAAACAATGCTCAAATATATTTACGGAGTCCTTATGCTTCAAAAGCATTATGCTAGATTCACAAATGATAAAAAGAAAATAGAAATGTTGTCAGGAAGGAATGTAATTCATTTCCTAATTCAATAGTTATCATCTCCTCCCACATACTGTGCAAGCTAGCAAAAAAATAGCAGGAAATTTCATCTTTTGCAAAGAATTGCATCATTTTAACAACTATCTGTTTGTACATCTTTACTATCCTTTGCAATAGGTAACAGATCTAACCCAAAGTGTGAAAGTATAATTTTATACATATTGTAAAAGTCAGACTTATTAAGCTACATGAATGATGAGTGAATGAATGAATTAGTGAATGGGTGAAGGAACACGGCTATTGTTAATTTGTAAGTCTACCAGTGAATGCCAGCACTGTTTTCCTATCAAGGTAGTTCATTAGCTCAAATGTTAAATTATTCCAAGCTTGCCCTTATTTCATCATTTGAAAGAAATCCCTATTTTGTTTATGTAAACTTGATTTGGGACTTCTTTATTCGAATTTCTGATAATACTTTTCTGCCTTCCCCATCTTGTTTTGTTCCCTTTCTTAGAATAAATATAAAATAAAATCCAATTTATCTAGGTTTCCTGTGGAATTGGACATACAAATTAATATATACTTAAGGAGTTTAATTTATTGCACATATCAAACAGAAATCATAATTTTCCAAAGCAGTAATATATAATCAAATATAATTAAACTAGACCATACTGAATATCACTTAACTTGCTTTGGAGACAATAAAATATTACAGATTTTTGCAGTATTTGAAGAACTGTTGTACAAGTTAGCATTCCATAGTGAATTCAGTTCTCAAGACTGTCTCATCGATTGGATACCAGAATCTGGAAGTTGATAGTATAATCCCAGTTCTGCTACTCACCAGCTCTGTTACACTGGGTGATTTTTGCTAATTCTCTGAATCTTAAGTTAACCTTCTGGAAAAGGGGGTAATAAAATACCAATTTCAAGGTGTCATTGTGGTGATTCACAGAAATCATGCATTTAAAGTGAGTAGAAGAGAACTTCTTACAGTAAACAGGATAAGTTAACTATCATCATCACCCTCAACATTGTATTCTAGAGCTTTTATTTAAGTAAGTGGAATTAATTCTCTTAGGTTTTCTGATTTGGAGATATTTTAGTTTTCTAATCTAATCTTCCATAAATTTACATTTTTGAACTGCACTGAAATTCTACGCTTGCACACAGTTACCTACCCTCGTTCCTGTTTTTGGTAATGGGAATAGAACTCAGGACTTTGCACTTGCTAGGCAGGAGCTGTGCCGCTGTGTTATATCCCAAGCCCATCCCCGGTACCTTTAACTTTCTTTCCAAATGACTTCTTATCTGGCTGGTCCTTCATAGACTTCTTCTTGAGATCACCAAAAGTCATTTCCAAACTCATACTAAGAATGAGAGACTGAAGCAGTCAAGAACTTTGACAAACTGAAAATATGTGAGCTTTCGCTGAAGTATTTAAATAGCAGAAGTTATCTCGTAGAAGAATGTTATCTAATAGGAGAATGACTCAGCTATTGCCAGGAGGAAGGGGAGGCTTTGCTTCATACTGGAAAGTTGACTGACGCAAACTTTGGGGTGCATCTATTTTAGGTGGGAAAAGTAGTGATTCTGATGATGTCTATTGATATTCCACAAAGTGGGGTTTTTTTTTTTTGAAAGTGAAAACCACATTTTCCATGAGAAATGAAATACATTAGCCCACTTATCAGAAATAGAAAGTTAAATTCAAGAGAGTAAGTTACATTCAAATTGTGCAAAAGCATTCTTTAGGACCAAATTGTTTGATTCCAACTTTCACATTTGTTTGTTAATTTCATTATGATATCTTTCACAGGTCTCACATTTTGTGTTTTACTGTCACTTGTTTTAACCGACAGCAAACAGGAATCTGAGGTGAACTCCAGATGATTCTTAATAACTTTAGAACCCAAAGGGGTACACTGAATTATACAATGACAGTGAAACCACAACAGAGAGCCCTTGGACTGAAAAGCTACTTCAAATCTTTCTCTTGTCTTGGGGAACTATTGAACACTGAATCTATTATCTTTGTTTATATAAATTTGGGATAATGTGAGTGTATATGACAAGCATTGTACTGGAATATAACAAGAACTCAATAAATAATAGTCACAACTATTATTAGCAGTAGTTTTTAGTTCAGTTAAATAACACAGAAAAGACTACCTTTTAGCCTAACCCATCACTGACGAGTCACAGAATCTTCTATAGGGTCCTCATAAGTGTATCTATATAAATGCATAGATAGAATTTTCACCTATTTTTTCACTTCACAACCTTATGCCCAGAGAATAAATAATTGCTGAAGTTACATGTACTGTTAAAAAATTCCTTATCCATAAAATTATTTTTCTTAAGTATTTATGTGCAAAATTATATGATATCTAAAATCTTCTTTAAGACAGATAAAAGGTTAAAAAAGTAACAAATATATAAATTTTCTAAGTAATTAATTAGAAAAAAAATCACCAACGCTCAGAGTCTAATTAGGATTACATTTCCTTATTCCTCCTTAAATTTGTAAATCTCTTTTTCTGCATGAAATATCCAATACTAAATTGAAAGCACTTTATCTCCCATTTAAAGTTTGGAGTGTTTTTTAAATTTTATTTATTTATTTAGTACTGTGAATCAAACTCATGACCATGCACTTGCCAGGCAGGTGCTTGTGCTGCTAAGATAAACCCTCCATCCTGAAGTTTTAATTCTCCCTGTAGCAAGTACATCTTTGTCAAATTAGCTTTTAAGAAGTCCATATATGTACATATATAATCATTATATTGTAATCATTATGCACTGAAAACATGCACTAAAAATACATTAATTAAGAAAAAGAGACCACATTATCTTTACCACACAATCCTCATCCTGGTTCCTTTTGCTGTGAGTGCCAGGAAATCAGGCCCTGGATCAGACATATTTCTATGGTCATCATGTCGATTACACAAGTGAAATATCAGTAAATTTCTCATAATAATGAATTAAAAAACCAGAATAGCATCATAAGGCATCAAATAACAATTTGTGATTCCCACAGTGACGCAATTATTTTAGATCCCCTAAAATGGCTGCAATTTTAATCATTTCAGATATGTTGATCAATATGGCACTAAATACCTTTACAGTGTTAGGTAGCTATCACTGCAATCTATTTCCTGAACATTTTTATCTTCTCCAGCTGAAATGCTACATTAAGCAGCAAATCCAGTGATGGCAATTTTTATATATTATCTCGTCTAGGCCATAAGGTGCCCAAGACATGGAGTCTGGGTATGAGATCAGCACATTCATCATTAGATAGACTTCAATCCATAAAGTGAATGGACCTCATTCAAAGAATGAAAGCTTGAAGAACAAAAACACTAACCTTCTCCCTAGTAAGAAAGAATTATCAAGCGGATGCCCTTGGGCTCAAACTACACACAACTAACTCTTCTGGGTATTCACCCTATCAACTGGAATTGTAACATTCACTCTCCTGGAATGCACCTATAATTATCTAATTATCAATTTCTCTCTCTCTCCCTCACCCTCTCCCTCTCTCTTTCTCTGTCTCTCTGTCTCTCTGTCTCTCTGTCTCTCTCTCTACATATATATATATATATATATACATATATATATATATGCTTTTCTAGAGAATTTCAATTACAAATCCCCATTGTTCACACCTCTCCTGTAAGTCAACATACTGTTTTCTAACTCTTGCATATCTCTCCATCTAGACTTTAAAAGGAAGCACACACTGATCTCACAGGTCCAAAGAAACGCATCTTGCCTGCAGGAGCTGAAAGTGGATCCTTCCCAGGTTGAGCCTTTATGGAAGAATGCAGCCCAGCAGCCAGCATAATTCCAGCCTTATGAGACTCTAAGCAAAGGGCATAATTCAATTGTGTGCAAGCCTCTGAGCCACAGATACAATGAGATAAGCTGTTATATAGTGCTGCTTACATATTTTGTGCTTGTAATTATATGGACGCATTAGTTACCTTTCTCACCCTAAGACAAAATTTTCTACACCCAAATTTAGAGAAGGAAAATTTTTTTAGTTCATAGTTCATAACAGTTTCGGTCCATAGTTGGCTATCTTTAAGGTATGGCAGGATGGCAGAGGAGAAAAGTTCGTATCAGAACAAACAGGAAGTAACAAGCAGCAACACATAGCATAGCTTTCCCTTTTGTTCCGTTTAGGCTACAAGTCTGTTGGTTGGTATCACCCACATCCAGGGTGGATCTCTTATCTTTGGTAAAAATCTATTCAATCACACCTCAAACTGTGCTAAACTAATCATTGGATTACTTCAGTATCACACATCCATGATCCATATTCACATACCCTAGATTTAACCACTTCCAAAAAGCCACACTTCTGAGCATTTGAGGCTTTCGGGGGACATCTAGTTACAAGTCATAATAATGCCATACAGGTCTAATGCATCTTTGATAAGCTGAATGCTTCTCTCTTATTTTACTTCTTTAAATCTAACCCTCTAACAGACTTTCAATGCCTCCGAGGTTGTAATCCCCCATGGTTTAAAATGGAACAGAACTTATCCAGCCTTGAAGCCATGGCTTTGGCCCTAACCACTACTCAACTTTCTGTCTTTCATACGGATATCGCAGAGTGATAGTAGTCTTAGCTTCTATTTCACTGAGGTACAGAGACGGAAAGGAAATCCATGATGTGCTACCTGACTTAGCAAAGACCATAAAGAAAATAATCAAAGGAACCAGAAGTGAGCATTTTTGACTACATTTGTTACAGTGCTTGTCTAACAATTCCCCAAAGTATAGGTGAAAAGGTCTTATTCTTCCACCTTTCATTGGTTCCAATCCAAATCCTTAATTAACAATATTGGAACAAGTCAATGATTCACAAGCTTAATGGAACCACACAGGACTGTGTTGGGTTACAACAAGGTCAATTTCCTCTGCCCTAGCGTCCATCCTCTGGCCCCACGCATTTGTATTTTTTGTAGTATCATCTAAATTCTCTGTAATCAATGCCTAATGAAATCCCCTGATTTAGCACTCTCAGAAATCATAATTACTTTAATTAGGGTAAAAATGTTTTATTTTCCCAGGTAATACACCGGTGAGAAAATAGAAATGGTAATCATAATTCTGAGAAAGAAAAGTACCAAGGTAGTCATTAACAGAAACCTACTTTGTTCAAACCTGTTAGGAAGCTGGAGGGCAAAAAGAATGATGGTAATCACACAAGAGGAAAGTGCAACAAGGGGAAAGTCTTGTTAAACAAACCTGCTTGTGCTGGCGGAGGCTGGCATGGCTGGGAAAATGATGGAAATCAGCAAAGGGAAATATTCCAGAACCAGAATACTGTATTAGGAAAGCTGAGACACAGTTAGAGAGGGCCTGCTATTAAAATGTAAGGGAGGGATGAAAGCCATTAGTTTTCCAGCATTTTGAAAGAGGATCATTTATAAAATATAGTCAAAATGAAAATCACCTTAGATAACAGAATATTTATTATCAGGACTACTATTTGGATTGTACATATACTAACTTATTTACTCTTTTGAAGTATATGCAGTGAAATATATATATATATATATATATATATATATATATATATCCCACAGAGATATGCAATAACTTTTCCAAGATCGTATCACATATTAATAAGTGAAAAAGGAAGTGATTAATCCCAGGTATTCTAGATTCTAGCAGGGCTCTTAGCCGTGGTATTTTACTGTATCTCTAACAAGTAAAAGAGAGAGGTAAGGTTAATGATGTTTCCCAGGGAGTTATTATTGAATAGAAATACTCTATTCAAAATGCCTTCTTAACAGGCACAGTAGCACATGCCTATAATCCCATCTACTTGGGAGACTGAGGCAGAAAGATTAAAAGTTTGAGGTCAAGTTGGGCAATATAGGAAGACCCTGTATCAGAATAAAAATGTTTTAAAAATGGCTCTGGTAGCAATTTAGATCAATATTACAGTACTTTTCTAACAGATGTGAGGCAACATTCAATCGCCGACACACGCACGCACACACGCACACACGCACACACGCACACACACGCACACACACACACACACACACACACACACACACACGGCCAGCTACAATGAAGCACATCTAAATTCCCCAGCATTGAAGGAAACTGAGGCAGAAGATCATGAGTTCTAGCACTGGGCAATTTAAAGAGACTCTATCTCAGAAATCAAGAGGAATGGGGCTGGGAATGTAGCTCAGTGGTAGATTATCCTGAAAATGAACCTCAGTACTGAAAAACACATGTGCTATAAGTAGTTCAGTGCTCACTGATTTCAGTTCAAAGTGGGGAGATGAAGGAAATACTTCATCTTGAATTTTATTTTCTCTATGAAATCACATCTTCTGGCTGCCAGGTGGTGCTTCCCTTCTGCTTTATGAATGGGAAAGGACAGGGGAAACTGTAATTACTTAGTGAAGGGTTGTAACCAAAGTCCTGCTCTTCTTGACCTACCTTTCATCTTGCCAAGTTTTCTATTAAAATTTGGAAAGCATTCTTCATTTTAATTGCATTAACTTTACTTTAAAAACATATCACTATTCACTTAGTTTTGAAACAAATAAATTATAATAATCAAGATCCTACCAGTACATTATCTTATTCTGCTTTCTTTAAGTGAAGAGAAAATGTTTCTCTTCTGCATCCTCACATCACAGTGTCATGCAGTGGGAGAACATTTTAGAATGTGACTAGTCTCCCCCAACAATTGCCTTTCAGAGTTAAAAAGGATCAAACATGGTTTTACTCCATTCTTATGATATTGATTCATCATTTTAAACTAATGTCTAATATTCTTATTAAAGGCCTTGCATTAAGTAACATTACCTGAGTATATCTTCATTCATTCCAATAGATATATTCCAAGTATTCCAGATTCCTTCCATGTGTACTTATTTTTGCTCTTTGACCTTCGATTTTTTTTTCCTAGAGTGATAAGATTTTATTTTTCCTTTCTTTATTTTTTGCTCTTCTTAATTTTAAAATTGGGGTCTTGTTTTGTCTCCCAGGATGATCCCAAACTCTTGAGCTTGAGTGATCATCCCGTTTTAGTCTCCCCTATAGCTGGGACTATAGGTGCACATCATTGCACCTAGCTGTAGAGTAGTTGGATCTATTCTCAGTCACAACACCCTTTTACCAGAAAAGAGGAAGAAAATGAAGAAGTTGTAAAAAGAAGACAAGAAGGAGGATGGGGAGGAGAGAAAGTGAGGAGGAGAGAGAGGGGGAAAGGAGAGAAACAAGAAAAAATGACAAACACACACACAAAATATCTATAAATCTTGGAAACCAATTCTGAAACATATGTCTGCAGGTCTAGCTTGTCTGTTTCAGTGGGAGTCTAGGTCAGAATGGAGGAGACCATGGAGAGCACCTGGAAATTCTAATTTTCAAATCTCATTCCCAAAATGAGGTGGCTTTGGCAGCTGCTCAGTCCTACCTCAGTGGTTAAGAATAAATGAAATGACCCAGAACCAGGAGAGTTGATTATCAACATAGTGAGGGTAGAGTTTCAAAAAGCAAGAAGAGGGAGTGCTAATCACATGGATAAGGGTGAAAGGAGATTGGCAGGGTGACTCTCAACCTTGAACAGTCACCCCGGCACCCTATGATAAAGGACCAAGAAGCATTACCTACCTACTTTCTGATGAACACGAGAACATAATTGGTCATCGCCAATCTGCCTTTGACCTTCCTCAAAGTTAGGCTTCTAATCAATGATTAGAAAACTCTTTAACTTAAAGGGCAAAAGTGTCTTCCTTGAATGTTTTCCTATTGGGAATAGCCAGGGGCAGAAAACAGAAAACATAGAAAAGTTTTAACAGCAGGGTGGAAAAAGGCAGAAGGAACAAATGCAGAGTCAATAAAATCAGAAATAAAAATAGAGGAGAAAGCTAGGAGGAAAGAGGAAGTATTTTTGAAATCAAAAGTCAGAGGGAGTAAGAAGAGATAGAAGGAAAATCTAATATATTGCTAAGAAAAGTTTCTCTCCTTGAGAATTCTAGATCAAGAAGTCACACACCCCGCAGAGGATGGAGAAGAGGTAGCGGATATCCAGCGCACAATGCGGGAGCAAGTGTTCAGCCGGATGGAAGTCTCTGCCCATGTTCTGACGGCCTCTGTTCTCCTCTGTTTCATCCAGGTGAGTTCAGCTGTGAAAAAGCAAGATGGAGAAGGCTTTTTTTTTAGGTTCATCAGCACTCAGAAAAATCTTGTAGAAAACAGTTGAGGTGAAAAGAAAAATACAGAGAGAGGTAATGGGGCAGGGAGTAAGTCCCATGGTCACTTACTGTTGTGCATGTGGGACTAATGCATGTGGGACTACAGATGCATGTGGGACTATGAAGAGGGAGACAGACATTATAGTAAGCCAGAAGTGGTGATGAATGCCAGCACTCTGGGAGAGTGAGGGGAGATTATAAATTGGAGCCCAGCCTGTGTAATTAATGAGAGCTTTACTCAGAGTAAAAAAAATTAAAAATTCAAAATTAAAAAGTTCTTGGGATATAGCTCAGTGTGAAGGCTCTGGGTTCATTCCCAAATAACACACACACACTCTCTCTCTCTCTCTCTCTCTCTCTCTCTCTCTCTCTCTCTCTCTCTCATGTATAGCTCTAGGATAGCTATAGCACTTTAAAAGTGACAATTATGTTTCTCTCATTTAGTATAGTATCAAATATCCCTCAAAACTCCAAATAAATAAATTGTATTTGGATAATTTATGCATAATTCCACTAAATGAAATTTCCTACATCAGTTCTGATATTTTTCTACCCATTAAGGTGTCTCCATTCCACAAATAAAAGAAGGAAGATTCTCCTAGAAAGCTTAGGAAAAGAGGAGAACAAATTTAGTCTCAGCCTGGGTAAATTAGACCCTGTTTTAGATAAAAAATGGGCTGGTGTTCAGTGAAGCCCTCGGTGCAATTTCCAGTATGGGATGTGGGGAATGATGGTGGGAGAGACTCTTTAAAAATATTTTCGTTCCTACGTTTCTCCCCATCCTGAATCAATAGCCTATGAATATTTCATTAGTTGAGAAAGCAGTCATTAGACAGAAGGATTCTGGACAATCATCAGCATTAACTAGTATATAAGTATAAAATCTAGCAAGTACACAAGCTGCATTATATCACATCCTTGTTCAGGGTGAGCTGCTCTTTTGCTTCCTAGATGCCAATTAATCAATATCTCAACAATCCTTTATTTTTTCTTGCATTTTTCTAGGTTCTATTTCTCTTCCCTTTTCTCCTCTTCCCTTCACTTCTGTTCTCTCTGCAGCAAACCTGAGAAGTGGCAAATTATCTGTTGAGCACCTTAGATTTCTTTTTACTTTAGTGATGAAAGGCAAGCAAGGGAGCAAGGCTGGGATGAGGAAAGAAGCCCTTGGGCATCGTTCTTGGCAACCTCTTTCAAGTGAAAACAAAAGCAATGACCAAGAGTTTTTCCAGTGTTACCTGCAGATGGTGGCTCCTAATCCTTTTACAAATTCTTTCTATCTTTCCTTAAATAACAGGCCCCTGTACTCCTCCACTTCCCATCATTAAATAGATACAAATATCTGTCCTATCATAATGCTTCTCTTGCACTTCTGAAATATTAGGTCATTTGAAGTTCTGGAAGACTGAAACAGTTCCCAGAAATAAACTTTGCCTCTAAAGCAGTCTTTCAAGGAGGAAGTCATCTGAGATCTAGGACAGAGAGAAAGGAAGAGCTTTTGATTTTGTTTTGTTGTTGTTGTTTGTGAGGAATAGAAAGGAATGGTGTCAGTATTAAGGAGCTGTAAGACCAAATTTGCCATCAATTGTATTAACTTATTTAACAAATAACAATGATGATAGAATCATATTTAAATTCTGGCTACGTCAGTGGGTGTATAGCATTGGTCACATTACCTATGCCTTAGTCTTTTCACCCTTCAAACTAAGGTTAATGATTCTCAGCTATAGGATTATTGTAAAAAAATGTTATGCAATATTAGAAATTAATAGCCTGAGTAGGATGCAGACGTTATTCAGAAAGCCCTCATTCCCTTACCCTTGTTGTGTTGTATGATAAGATATGGCTGTGTTGAGGGCATGTAAAAGGACTGTGAAGAAAAATTTAATTCACAACAGGGCAGTAATGCTGACCAGCAAAACATTCTGAAGGATAGATCAAGAAATTTGTAAAATAAATTGGTATAAATGGCTTCCTTTCATTCATAGGCAGTAACACTATTAAGAACAAACAAATACAAACAAGTGAGATAAATATCTCTTTCAAAGTTTCCCACCCCAAGTCAGCAGGCATGGGAGAGACAAGTCACAAGTTACAGTCTTAAGTATGACCTGACCTTACAAACATGCCCTCATCAGACGACAGCCATGGGCTACGATAAGGTTGCTGACCTTAGCAGACGAGATGATTTCCCTGTCTGAGACTATTTCTCTTCCTACAGCTTCCTGGAGCACGATGTGAGGAGAATTGTGTCAGTTCTGAGTAGTAAGTATCTAAGAATTTGAACTGAAAGGAAAACAGACCATCAACATCCAAACACAGGTCAAAAAGTCATTAGAACACTGTAACTTCCCTTTATTTCTTCTAGCAGGCATTCGCCTACTATCGCAGATGTGTCATTCTATGTGCTCAAAATATTACAATCTTCCACCAAAGCAGTATAATTCATCTCAATTTATATCATCATAGAGACTTGCAAAAGGTTTTTTTAGCCTCTCACTCATCAGTTCAGACAGGATTCATTATCTAGCCATTGGCTTATCTGCTTGGGTGATTTCCAGAATGGAATCCCTATCTCAACCCTAAAAGCAATTTCTGGTTTTTAGGGCAGTTAATATTTATTGCGGAATTCATTTATCTATCACTTTGATAGAGTTTTTCTATAAACTGAAGCTGTCATAATTGAGTCTCATGCAGACACGAGAACGTAAAGATAAACATTTATATATGAGGCACTGGGTTTAATCTCCAGTATTGAAAGGAATAAAAAGGAGGAATGAAGGAGGGAGCATTAGGGAGAAAGTAGAGAAGGAAGGAGGGAGGTAGGAAGGAAGGAAGGAAAATGAAAATGAAAAATTCATTCAAGCTGAAGGAAATCATGTATCTAGCCGTGGAAGCAGCGATAACCCTGCCTTTTATCACCCGCACATGGGACCTTGGTTATTTGACATTATCTGAGACTTTAGACATCTATCACTACAAGAAAATTCTTCCCTGCAGAATCAGAATCTAGTGTAAAATTCCAAGAGTTTTGAATACATGATGAATGCAAGAAAACCAAAAGTATAAAAGGTTCAGTAAAAAACATAAACACTTCTTTCTACAAAAGTGTGGTCACAAAAAGAATACAGAAATAGATTGCAATAGATGAATGTATTACCAAGTATTATTAAACAGAAGTTACTAATCTACGAACATACAAATACTTTGCATTTTCTCCTTATCTTATTCCTATGCTGTTTCTTCCACATAATCCTCATTTTTTTTTTTTTTTACCCTTACAGAGAAAGTCAACAATTGCAACAGTTAATTCAAAATGTTTAGTGATCTTTCATTGTAGGGAAACTTTTTCCCTTCCTGTTTGGGTTCAGTGCATACGAGTATTAGGGACGTGACAGTTTACATCCCTTTTCATGGTAAGGGTGTTGCAAGAGCTTGTGAAACATAAACTTGATTGCTTTCATGCTTTTAACTGAAATTTCCTTTATGTTTACATTCTCCTGAACTCAAATATGTAAAAATCTTAATATTCATATCCATTTTCCAATTCACTCTTTATAAATATTTTCCAACTTGTTTACAATAGTCATAGATTCATTTTCTATTGACACTTTTTATGCTCACTGTGATTGTTTTATTTATAAAATAATTTGCACAGTGTCATATACGATATAAAATACTATGTATGTCATTTCATAGTAGAATTAGCTCATTTTTTAGAACTTGAAAATTTTTAATCTTAGTTGCTTAGATGCATTATAATGATATTTTTATATTGTAACTCACATTTGTGACATATAATGAAATAAACTCTATTTTTCTCCACAGCTGTCTGACTACAAACTGGGTACATCTGTGGTATATATGGTAAGTTTCAGTTGCAATACCTACCAAAGTATTTCATTTTACAAGGCATTAATTATATCTATTTCTTTGTCAGAGAGAGAGACAGAGAGAGAGTCAGACAGACAGAGACAGAGACAGAGACAGAGACAGAGACAGAGACAGAAAGGGAGGGAGGGAAGTGAGGGAGAACAGAAAGTTTGAGACAGCTTCCCTATTTAGTATCTCCTGGACTAAAGTTACTTTACCTAGTTAGCCTATGAAACCATACACCAAGATATCTCATTTGAATACAATCTCCTCTATTGAGATCAAAAGATTGTTTTGTCCTTATGGGATCTGCTCAAGAAATACCTTCACAAAGTTTATTTCAGTAAAGTAAAAAGCAGCTACTTCAAGTTATCTGTAAAATATTATGTATTCTAATCATTTGGCTTAATCCTGCTAACAAAGAAAGAAATATGTATGTATATATGAATTGCAATCTCATCATTTTTATGTGGAATGTCAACAAGAATTGAAAGGCACTAAAGACTGATGATGCCAGAGTTGAGACAAACCAGGTCTGAGTTTCCTCCCCGCTGGGCTTTTGTAGGCTGCTGGTAGTAGTTGGTGCCCTGCTTCTGCTCTGTGGCCTGACTTCAGTGTGCTTCCGCTGCTGTCTGGTTCGTCAACAAAACGGGGAAGACGAAGGTCAGCCACCCTACGAAGTAACTGTGATTGCTTTTGACCATGACACCCTACAGAACACTATCACTTGTGAGTACACTAATTTGACGTGGGGAAGACACCTGGGTTTAAATTAAGAATTAAAAGGACCCCATAGGTATAGCAACACTAATCAAATAACATTACAGCTCCTAGGATTCAGAGCAATTTTAATTTCCGAAAGACTCATGGGGTGCTGACCTGGCATCTCACTGGTGCTGTATTCTCAGACATTTGTCTGGCTGGTGATAGCATGAAGAAAGAAGTGGAATACTAAAGACATTTTGGAGACCTTTTACAAGGAGAATTGCACACTTGATAGTTCATTTGTTTTGTTTTGTTTCTCTTCTTTATTAGTAGTCCATGTTTACATGGAGTGGGTTCATGCACAGAACACAGCTTCATTGCTTTTCTCATTCTCTTCCCTTCTCTCCTTCTCCTGCTGTCCATCTCTCGAACCCCTCCCATTAGAGAAAGCTGTATCTTCCTATTTTCTATTATCAAGATAATAAATCATTTTCATACCCTAAATTTATTTATGTTTATAAATAGCTTGATAACTTATTTTCAAATGCTGAACTTATCTTTCAAAATGTCAATTTTGTGAAAATCTTACTTTCTGTTGTCTATACTGTTTTGTATTTTTAAAGAAATTAGTGGTGTTTGCTTTTAGTTCCGTGTGCTTCAAGTCATGGTCCTTACAATTTTTTGCCCAACATTCCTTTGATCATTATTATAAGACACTTTGCATTATTGTATATTCATTCCTAAAATGAGGTGATAAATACAAGCTAGAGCAGTAGATAGCAAACACTGTAATAATTACTTTGAAAATAGTGCAATATGACATGTTGTTGTTCACTTTACTACCTCCCTTTTCTTACTTTATTTTTAGGGAAAAAATAAAGTTCAGAGTCTGCAATATTGGTAGGTGAATATAAAGAGATCTAAGACTGGAAGAGGAAGGGTAGGGTGTGAGATATGGGAACACAACATAAGATTGTTCAAAGACACCAGACAAGTTCTTCTAACAGAATATGAAGCTTTTCATACATTTTTTTGGCTGCGGGTGACAGTGAGTTTGGGCTCTTATTAAAAATGTAAGGACCTTAGTGTGATGTGAAGAATTTGAGGTCTAAAAACAGCACATTTAAGTCATATCTGCTTCTTCTTCCCTTCCAGCCCTGCAGTCAGCATTTGGCTCTGCAGCTCGGAGAATTCTGGCTGTAGCCCATTCCCACAGTTCCCTGGGTCAGCTGCCCACCTCCTTGGACGCCCTCCCAGGCTATGAGGAAGCTCTTCATATGAGTCGCTTCACGGTGGCGAGATGCGGAGAGAAAGCACCCGAGGTGCCCCCAGTGCCTGGGGGAAAGCAGCTGCCTCCCGTGGAGAAAGAATCTAGAGTACAGCACCCTTCGCTGTGATGGGGATTTGATTTCTACATGGGAACCAAGCTTTCCTCAGAGTCTAGAGTGTCAATAGTCTAAGTCTTCATTCTTGACAAGTGTTTTCTGATATGGACTGTACTCATCAGGCACTCTAATTCTTTATCCAAAGCCAAAATTCATTACATTGATTACCAACAAGCCAGGAGAGTATCAGGTGTCTTGAATTCCTTCAGTCATTCAGTGCGTATAAAATTCCTTCACCTCCTGATACTAATAGTTGTATTTCTACCAGTTCAAAGACTGTGGCAAGCTTGAAGAACAAGAAATTATAAGCACAGCCACAGTTACTAATGCACTGAACCCAGAAACTTTCTTCCTGAAAGAATAACCAATTTTATAATAGATTAAATGATCATCTGGGATATCATGCAATACCCATTTATAATAAAGAATACAAGAGAGAGATTGCTGGTGTAGGATAAGAGAATATAGTCTATGTCAAATGTCAAATTTTTTCTATCACTCCAGCTCTACCCACTAGAAATATGAAAAACTGTGCAAAGTATAACAGTACTATCACCGCTTCAGTTCCTCTACCTTACAAATACACAAGCACACATGTGTGCAAGAATGTATGCATCCTTTTTAAGCTCTAAAACAATGACGTTGGCTTGCTTCTCTACTCCTTCCTGCTTCTATCACTTAAAGCCACAGCATGTCCACAGCAGCTCACACCATCTCACTGCCACCTTGTGGAGCCAGGGCAGAAAATGCATGCTCTTCTTTGGACCTATCTACGCATCTCTCTAGCTCTTAGAGAACTAAATGGGCAAGTAAGCCTGGCCTGGCACTGTCGTGCCTCACAGTGCTGAGCTCACCACGCAGCACACTACCCCTTAAAGTACAGTAACTGGAACATTGAGGTGGGTAAAACAAGTTACCGACATTTTAAAATACCATTTTGTCACCTGTAAAAGGAGTACTAAAGACATCTCCAGGATTTGTTGTGAGAAACAAAGAACAAACTATGTAACATAATTTGTAAATCATTATGCACATGTATTTTCTGTTATTCTTATTGTCATGTATATTCACCTGTCTGCTATAATTCTCCTAAGAATTATGTTCTGGTTATTCCTTTTGCCAACCTGCTATGTTATTAAAAAGTTATATTGGACACAGCTTTATTTTATTAATAAACACTTGTTGATTGAGACAAACAACTTAAAGATATGATTCTTGTTCGTATGTTCCACATAGGTGTAGGAAATAGTTGAGAAAAGTAGGGGTTTTTTTAAACAATCAGCTTAAAGTTTTCAGAGGAGGCAATGCAGAAGTAAAGGTTGGCTAATTAAATACATTCTTGAAATAGCTCAGAGGAGATAATGTTCAGAGTGAACATAATCTGCCTGTAATCTAGGTTTTTCCCCAGTCACTTGGAAACCGTTAAGATGCATGCATTGTTAATGACACCTAAGGTCACTGTATCAGGGTTCACAAGAGGAACAGGTTTTAAATAAAAACAATGTGTATTCCCAATCGCCACCAACAGAATCAGAGGTACAAGAGTGTAAAATGGCCATTTGTGGTCTGGAGGGCAGAAAGACTGGGTTGAAAGTTAAAGGCCTGGGGCTGGGGATTTAGCTCAGCGGCATAAGCACCTGCCTTGCAAGCAGGCAGTTGTGAGTTCGATCCCTGGTACCGATAAAAAGGAAAAAGACAAAAAAGAAAGTTGAATGCCTGGAGCTTACTGTAAAGTTTGGCATAAGCTGCTCTGGAAGCCTGAAGGAACTGAATAGAAATGTCCCAAAGCAATGGCAAAGACAAGATCTCCTCCCCCGAAGAAACCATGGAAGACTTTTTCTCCTTCTTTCATTCTGTCCAGACTAAAAATCTATTTGCTGGTACCACTCACAAGTGGGTGAGTCTTTCCTCTCCGTTTGCAGTCTGTGACATAGCCAGACATGTACTAATCTGCTAGACATTACTTATTCAAGTGATTTTGACATCGCAAATAAGATCATAGTGACCTTATTTTATTACACCAAATGAATCATTTGGTCATAGCACATTCTGTAAAATATCTGAGGCATCCTTCAAGACTCTATAAACATTAAGAAGTTAAGATGCTATGGGTATTTAAGGATCTTGGAAGAAATTCTGCCTATAAGACATCCTGCAATCACACTCTCCCCAACCCAATTCATCTGATGTGTGAAATTATTTACATCTATTTGATGTCACTCTATCATATTTTTCCATTCTTAGGTGTATCTTTCATAATCTATTTCATACATCGAGTCTTATGACCACTTCTTAGCTACATGGAATCATTTACTCCCCTAACTCTCCCATACTTGTTGTAAGGTATTAGCATGATTTTAATCTCACTACTTTGTCTACTTTATCAAAGACATATGTGATATCACCTGAATCATTTTTGCTATTGCTCTCAAGTTTCTAACTTTTTTTTTTTTTTTTTTTTTTTGTACCAGGAATCTAACTCAGGACCTTGGGCTTGCCAGGGAGGCACTTGTGTCACTGAGCTATATTCCTGGCCCCAGTTTCTAACTTTTTTAAATTTTATTTTGTTCTATTTTTCAAACTTCCAACAATACTTCAATAAAGTTGTGTTCTCCTTAATGCCTACGCTGCTCAGCAGTGCTGGGGAAAAGCTGTCAGTGAGGCTGAGGTTAGTCCAGAGTGGGGCCCTCTAACACTTGGCATTCTTTATACATTTCCTTCAGTATTTTCTGCATTCTTTCTAGTAAATATTCAAAATTCAATAGCTGTCTTCAATATCTTCTAGTCCACTATGAATGCATTAATCTTAGGCAGGAAACTTGTTCTAGTTCAGAGAAAGAATCAAAACTTTTAAATAACTTCCTGCCCCAAAGGTGCAAATCTCTCTACAGATGCATACTTGTCCTTTCCTCCTTCCTTGCAGTACATTGAAATGGATGTACTTTCTTCTCCCTAGTAATCATGCTTCTAATAGTGTTTTGCACTAAATTAACTCAACAGAATTTTTTTAAATTTTAGCAACAATTATTTAATAAATAATATATTAAGAATGATGAAAAGATAGCTGGGCAAAAAGAATGTGCAAGGTAGACTGGACTCTTGTTCCTCACAGTTTACACTGTAAGCCAGTAAAGTAATATTTCTTAATATTAAATATAAATATATTAAAAATAAAATGATAAAATTTGTAAGTACAAAGAACTGAACACAGCTTGAAATAAGAAATAACAGGTAAAAAGGGTAGAGGATCTTTTAAAAAGCTAGAGTGAAGGAAAGCATTTTCAAAATTGAGAAAATACTAGGTAAGAAAGATAGCTGAAAAGCTGGAGTAACTGCTTGTAGTGAGCCCAGGAAATTGTTACAGAAAACGGAGTGTAAATAGGGAGCAGTGTCCTTGTGAGGTTGGATTCCTAGGCTATAGTTTACATGTGGCAAGAAGCTACAAAGACATTTTAAGCAGATGAAATTTGAGTTGCAAGAGATGACTATTGATGCTGAAGGAGGATGGACTCGGCAAAGGTAAGTGTAACTGCAGGAATATGAGATGGGAAGTTAATAAAGAATTATGTCACCAGGAAGCTGGATCTTGGTTCAGGGAGAACCTGCCCCTTTACTCTTTGGCCTTCAGTCCCTTTGGCTTTGATGTAAGATTTCAGTCAAGACACTTAGGCAGCCATGCAGAAGTATAGTTGGAGTTCATGGTAAAGCAGATGTAGAAAGAGTTATTCTTTCAAGCAAGAAGGCAGGCAGTATCATGAAGACATCTGTACTGAGTGCTAATATTTTTGGTTTTTGTTACCATTTCATCTATATGAGAATTACTTGTTGGATTCAGGAAACTTTGATGATTGTCATTTGTCATTGTTAACTGTGAGGCGTCAACTTGACTTCAGTAAGACCCACCTAGCAGGTTAGTAATGTTCTAGTTGTGTTTGGAGATGACTGACACATAAGCCGCCAAATAAGGAGTTTCAGAGAAGCTACAGTCTACACCATTGCCTTTGCATGTAAGTTTCCAGTTCCTTCAGGCTTTCAGCACAGACTCTCAGCCTTCCAACCTTGACCCTTTGGCCTTCTGACACAGAGGCGCATGCACTCTCTAGTGAGCCCTGGGCTTTTGACTTTTGATCTAACCTTCCAGTGCTTCAGGATGCAGACACTCATTCTGCACTATTTCACATTGACTCCATAGGTGACCATCATAAGCATAACTAGTAAATTCGTGGTTCATATTAAACCTGTTCCTCTAGTGAACCCTAACTGATGTATTATCATCTTATTTATGCTTTGTATATGCTTATTGGCATGTTTCTTGGAGGTTACTTGAGAACATTGCTATTTCAAAACTGTTTCTTGTATCTGTCAGGTGGTCACTGCTGCCTCAGGGGTCCTCATCATATGAGGAACTTATGAAAGAAATTTATGAAGGATGTGTTCTAATTTAAATCAGGTTTCAGTTTAATGAGGGAAGATTGTTAACAAGTGTTCACATTTCTGAAATCATTGAGCATAGTCATGAGAGCTAGAAATACTGTATGACTCTTTTTGGAAATAGGTGGCCAAGTATGCACACAACCGTAAAATGTCACTGTCAGATCATTTTGAGTCTGAGATCTAATCACTGATTAAAATATACTACACACTGAAGTCTCTTTATTAAGCTATGTGTGTATGTAAAATGAAGGTTTCTTCATTTAGTGATAACTGGTAATGCATGTTATTTTGGGCTCCACTTTTGTCCCTCACACCTAACAGTAGCAGACAGGAGATGATTATGGATGCTGTGGTGACAAGGTGAGAATAAAATGTTTCACCACAAATATATTTCCTTGATATATTTCCAGTTCATTAGAGAAATTCAGACCTGTAGGTATAGGAATGGATCTTTAAATTGTCCTATTATAAAAAGAAATGTAAATATACTATATAAGTAAATAAGATACGCACACAGAGCATTTGTCTCATATTTTCCCCTTTCTAGGAAGAGCCCTTATAAAGGAAGAAGAGAAGTATCTCACTTTTGCTCACATATTGGTCACCATAGATGGCAATCACTGGAAGATCTCATACATAAAAATCACAGCCCTTGCTTGCTAACCAGATCCTCCCTATAGCTCCCATAATCTGTAATCCTCTTTTTCTTGGGTACTCAGCCATCCTGGTCCTCCCATATAATGCTCAATCTCTCTCTCCTAATGTGGTCTCACACTCTCTTAAGTGTGAAATACAGTGTGCTCTTTTTCCTCTCATCACATGTTATCAGTGTATTTATAGACTAACATAGCCAGCTCTTCAGAGTAAATTTAAAATTCCCTTCCGTGATTAAGGGATGTGTTATGATGTACATCAACTTGTCCCCCAAAAGCCTCCTGCAGTCATAGGTGAGGCTTTTTGGAGGTGGCTGAATCTATAGTGTATGATACTGGAATTAAAGATGTATGATTACTAAATAGTCCATTGATTGGTTTGGTATAGTTCTGGGTGTGAAATACAGGAAGCTCACCCTTTTGGGTGGTTCTATGCCTGGGTGTGGGTAGAGCCAGCAAAAGACTGAGAGCCTGGATGTGACAGCAGGAAAAGGCAGGCCTCCTCCTGCCGTTGTCTGTTGCTTGGTGCTGTCTGCCTGCCCTGACATGCCATAAACTGTTTCTTCTCTGTGATGTCTTTCTGCATATCATTTGGCCTTGGAGAGCATCAGCAATGGACTTAAAAATTATGAACTAAATAAAATTGCTTCCTCTAACTTTAGGTGATGGGTATTTTTGCTCAGCAATGAGAAAAAGTAAGAAAGAATGAAGTGGAGAAAAAATATAGGGATTTGAGAGGGACTGTGGGGGAAGAAACATCAAGATATGATGGTGGACTGGATATGGAAATGAATTAAAGGAAGAGAGTGAAGTATGACTCCTAAATCACTACTTAACCTTATTCGGGGAAGGAATAGCAATTTATTAAGATCAGAAAAACAGGAGGAAGAACAAAGAGAGGGAAAACTGAAGATAATGATTTCTAAAAGTATGGAAAAACCGTTTGATTGTGACAGTCAATCTGAGACAAGGAGGACTGCACTAAGCAGCAAGGAAAGCTGAGACGTGTCCACGAAATGTTGTTGTTAATTAGCATGAGTGCTAGTTTAATCAAAATTAAAACTAAAGCAATAAAGCTGGGGGCGGTGGCGTACTCCTGTGATCCCAGAACTCAGGAG